CTCTTTAAATGCCATGCTTTTGTATTTTGCAGCAACGTGTATTGTTCGTAACCATCGTTTCCTGTTTGTTTTAACAGCACGCTTTGGTTCCAACTGGCACTTCAACGCTGCAACGTGTAGGCCGTTTGCCAACCGGGCATTGGAACTCGTCCTGCTGCGCGGTTTTGGGAGCAAGAAGGCGACAACGATCATGGTGAAGTTCCCTGCAGTTGGCTACGCCTTGAATGTGGTGAGTGAGTCGCTATTCCAGGGGAGGGTTTAAGGTCATAACCGCCAGTCCGTGAAGACTCATTTTGGTTGCTTTTCTTGATGCAGGTGGAATGGCCTCTGGCAAATGCCAGAGGGCGAGTGAACCCTGCACTCGACGGTTCCGAGACCGTGAACCAGCAGAACGTCGAGGTGAAGATCGGGCACCTGGTCACCTGGATTAGGGAGACATACGAGAACCGAGACACCGCGATCTGGGACCCGGTTGCTCCTGCTGGCTTCAGGATGTCCCCCAACGTGAAGCTATTGATTGAGGGTTATGAGTCTCAGGTGTTCCCTGCAGGATTACCCTAGGAAATTGGATGCTAAGAGTATTTTATTTAGCATGAGGTTGGAGTGGTTATTACATGACTGCTAGGGTTACAATGCTAATCCTAATGATAATACATCTCTGAAATAATGTGTTGTCAAATGCTCTGGAGCCGTATACTTGTTATGAACAATTGTAGCTATTGAATCGATTTATCAAAAACACACTATTTAATATTTTAAAAATTTGGATGTTGAATACAGTACAGTCACTGTACCACAATGTTATCATATATAAACCCGACTATAATCACAGGGCATGCGAACAGTAACGGAATGTTACTTCGATTCTAGCTCTTATTAACAATTCGTTAGACAAAGTAACCCCTTCGTCATCGACTCGCCAGAGCGACCTGGATGGACAAAGGTGCACTCTAAATCGCCACACAGCGATACAAACGACCCCTACTGATTACACGTGTACGCAGTCACGATGATCCACGCCAAGTCCCGCTCATATTCAGTGTTGACTGCGATTGACAACACGGCTGCAACCAAGTTCGAACGTGCTGAACCAGACTCTATAGTGACGCGTGTAATCAGACGCAATCCCTTGATCCACAGCAGGTACGATCCACAGTCTATTTGGGAACAACCCATCTACCATCTACGAGGTGGACGGGAAACTGAAGGAAAGGCATCACAATTAACCCAAACTTCCCCAACCCACCCCAACACACTCCTCGGTTTTTTCCGATGTGCCCACTCCTCACTTCCCTTGCTCCCTCCCGTCACGGGGTCCACTCACCCCTCGCTATCCAAACCTTTCCCCTCTCTCCCTTCCCTATGCAGTTTGGTCATGTTAAAACACACCCTTTTGCTGCTGTTGCTTCCGTTCGGGCTGTTTGCTGCTGTTGCTTCTGTTCATACCGTCATTGCATGCTTGCTACTGCTGCTGCCGTCACTGCTTGCTTGCTGCTGCTGTTGCCATCACTGCTTGCTTGTTACTGCTGCTGCCGTCACTGCTTGCTGGCCACTGCTGCTGCCGTCACTGCTTCCTTGCTTCTGCTGCTGCCATCACTGCTTGCTTGCTCCTGCTGCTGCCGTCACTGCTTGCTTGCTGCTGCTGCTGCCGTCACTGCTTGCTTGCTGCTGCTGCTGCCGTCACAGCTTGCTTGCTACTGCTGCTGCCGTCACTGCTTGCTTGCCACTGCTGCTGCCGTCACAGCTTGCTTGCTACTGCTGCTGCCGTCACTGCTTGCTTGCTACTGCTGCTGCCGTCACAGCTTGTTTGCTACTGCTGCTGCCGTCACTGCTTGCCTGCTGCTGCTGCTGCTGCTGCTGCTGCCGTCACTGCTTGCTTGCTACTGCTGCTGCCATCACTGCTTGCTTGCTACTGCTGCTGCCATCACAGCTTGCTTTCTACTGCTGCTGCCGTCACAGCTTGCTTGCCACTGCTGCTGCCATCACTGCTTGCTTGCTACTGCTACTGCCGTCACAGCTTGCTTGCTACTGCTGCTGCCGTCACTGCTTGCTTGCTCTTGCTGCTGCTGCCATCACTGCTTGCTTGCTACTGCTGCTGCCATCACTGCTTGCTTGCTACTGCTGCTGTCGTCACAGCTTGCTTGCTACTGCTGCTGCCGTCACTGCTTGCTTGCTACTGCAGCTGCCGTCACAGCTTGTTTGCTACTACTGCTGCCGTCACTGCTTGCTTGCCACTGCTGCTGCCGTCACTGCTTGCTTGCTGCTGCTGCTGCCGTAACTGCTTGCTTGCTGCTGCTGTTGCCGTCACTGCTTGCTTGCTACTGCTGCTGCCGCCACTGCTTGCTTGCTACTGCTGCTGCCGTCACTGCTTGCTTGCTGTTGCTGCCGCTGCCGTCATTGCTTGCTTGCTACTGCTGCTGCCGTCACTCCTTGCTTGCTGCTGCTGCTGCCGCCACTGCTTGCTTGCTGCTGCTGCTGCCGTCACAGCTTGCTTGCTACTGCTGCTGCCGTCACTACTTGCTTGCCACTGCTGCTGCCGTCACAGCTTGCTTGCTACTGCTGCTGCCGTCACTGCTTGCTTGCTACTGCTGCTGCCGTCACTGCTTGCTTGCCACTGCTGCTGCCGTCACTGCTTGCTTGCTACTGTTGCTGCCGTCACAGCTTGTTTGCTACTACTGCTGCCGTCACTGCTTGCCTACTGCTGCTGCTGCTGCTGCTGCTGCTGCTACTGCTGCCGTCACTGCTTGCTTGCTACTGCTGCTGCCGCCACTGCTTGCTTGCTACTGCTGCTGCCGTCACTGCTTGCTTGCTGCTGCTGCCGCTGCCGTCACTGCTTGCTTGCTACTGCTGCTGCCGTCACTCCTTGCTTGCTGCTGCTGCTGCCGCCACTGCTTGCTTGCTGCTGCTGCTGCCGTCACAGCTTGCTTGCTACTGCTGCTGCCGTCACTACTTGCTTGCCACTGCTGCTTCCGTCACAGCTTGCTTGCTACTGCTGCTGCCGTCACTGCTTGCTTGCTACTGCTGCTGCCGTCACTGCTTGCTTGCCACTGCTGCTGCCGTCACTGCTTGCTTGCTACTGCTGCTGCCGTCACAGCTTGTTTGCTACTACTGCTGCCGTCACTGCTTGCCTACTGCTGCTGCTGCTGCTGCTGCTGCTGCTGCCGTCACTGCTTGCTTGCTACTGCTGCTGCCATCACTGCTTGCTTGCTACTGCTGCTGCCGTCACAGCTTGCTTTCTACTGCTGCTGCCGTCACTGCTTGCTTGCCACTGCTGCTGCCGTCACTGCTTGCTTGCTACTGCTGCTGCCGTCACAGCTTGCTTGCTACTGCTGCTGCCGTCACTGCTTGCTTGCTCTTGCTGCTGCTGCCATCACTGCTTGCTTGCTACTGCTGCTGCCATCACTGCTTGCTTGCTAGTGCTGCTGCCGTCACAGCTTGCTTACTACTGCTGCTGCCGTCACTGCTTGCTTGCCACTGCTGCTGCCGTCACTGCTTGCTTGCTGCTGCTGCTGCCGTCACTGCTTGCTTGCTGCTGCTGTTGCCGTCACTGCTTGCTTGCTATTGCTGCTGCCGCCATTGCTTGCTTGCTACTGCTGCTGCCGTCACTGCTTGCTTGCTGCTGCTGCCGCTGCCGTCACTGCTTGCTTGCTACTGCTGCTGCCGTCACTCCTTGCTTGCTGCTGCTGCTGCCGCCACTGCTTGCTTGCTACTGCTGCTGCGGTCACTGCTTGCTTGCTACTGCTGCTGCTGCCACTGCTTGCTTGCTACTGCTGCTGCCGTCACTGCTTGCTTGCTACTGCTGCTGCCGCCACTGCTTGCTCGCTACTGCTGCTGCCGTCACTGCTTGCTTGCTACTGCTGCTGCCGTCACTGCTTGCTTGCTGCTGCCTTGCTGTTGCTGCCGATGTCGATGCTTGTGCTTGTGCTGCTGCTGCTCACTGATTTGCAGCTGCCGCGCCCTCTCCCTACTCAATTTTTCCTCCGCCTCGTTCCTTCCCCCCCTCCCTCGGCCGTTGGTGTCCTCCGCAGGTCGTGTGGGCATTCTGGGAAGGAACCTGCCTGGGAATTTCACACAGCCTGGCTGCTGCAATTGTCCCTGCTGGGTCAACTCACCCAACACCACAAGTGCTGCAGAAGCAACAGTAGAAGAAACAGCAGCAGTAGCAGCAGCAGGAACAGCAAGGAAAAGCAGCAACAGCAGCGCAAAGGGTTTTTTTGGCCACTGGGGCTGAAATTCACAATGCTTTG